ATGAGGCCAAATCCGGCCAGAAGATTGTTGGGACGTTGTGGGCCTTCAGGAGAGGAAGCAGCCGCTTCTGGAGGCACTCTTTTATGTACACCTGTCCGTTCATCGTGTCCTGGGTCACGAAAGGTGCACTCCGCTTCCCGCACGTGCAGATGGCTTGCCAAACCAGGAATTTCTTCGCAAATTTGGACATCTTCTGAGTGCGGACATGCTCCGGAACGCTGAACTTATCCTTGGCCGTGAAAAACAGGTTGCAGGGGATCTGTTTGAAGTCGGCCTTCACATATGTTTCGTCGTCCATGATGCAGCATTCAACTTTCGTCAGCATGTTGAGGTACAACTTCCTGGCACGGGTTTTGGCGGACTTGTTCTGCTTCTCGTCGCGATTAGGGGCCTTTTGTACCTTGAACGTTCGAAGCCCAGCCTTAGTTTTGGCCTTCTGGACAAAACTTCGGCTTAGGTGCAGCTTCTTAGCCACATCCCTAACGGAGGCGTTCGGATTTCGGTTGACGGCCCCAACTACGCGGTTGTGATTTTTGGTGTTGTACGGAATACTTTTTCCTTCACTTCTGGGCTTCCGATCGGTGGTCAACCGTTCCTCGAACCGCTTAATCACTCGCGACACCGTGGAATTCGCGATTCCCAACGTTTTAGCGATGGAACGATGCGAGAGATCCTTGTTCTCGTGATGAATGCGCAAGATTTTATCACGCACGAGCTGTTCTTTCGACTCCATTTCCGCGAGTTTTGATCACAGGACTTTTTAACTTGCAGGATGTAAATAATGCACTATGAACTAAATCCACCCAAATTTTCATTAAATTCTACCCAACGGTTAAAAAGTTAGAGCAATTTCATAGTGTGGCAATTTCATAGTGTGGCAATTTCATCGTGGACACCCTTTAAGCACAACCCGCGCTTTACCTCTCTTTTTCTTTGAACGGGTTTGAACAAAAAATGAAATATTTCTGTCAAAGATGGCTTCTAAATTTATTCACCTTTCCATACGTACCGTTGGATTTGATACAGATTCGGAAATTGTCGAGATATGGTTTACAATCTAATACTGCTTCTTGATTCTAAATTCGTTCTACGAGTTTCAATTTCATCCTAACGCATTGAAACGCCAATAGATTTTCTTCGGCCTACGGATAAACGTAGAAAAAAGGGATTCGCTAGAAGCGCTTCTTTTGTTTTGAGAACAATGAGCGTAGGGTAGGTATACCAGTTATGGCCATATGTTCCTATTATGGTGTGTTCCAGTTATGGCCTATGGAATTCCCATAGGCCATAATTGGAACACACCATAATAGGAACGTATAGCCATAACTGGTACGTTTACCCTGTATATTTATACAATGCACTCTAATAGGATTTATGTTGTAGCTAATGAACTAACGCATCGGAACCAACCTATTATTGATTTGTGTATGGTGAAATAATTGAGCGTCTTAGGGCGTCTTAGTGGAATACCTGTATAATGAGAGAGAGAAGGATTAGTAATTTCCATTTAAGGTGTTTCGTTGTGAGATCCTTAATCATGTTTCCACTTCGAAACTTTAAGTGCACAAATATCAGCTTCTACGACACGTACCACAATGAAACTGTTACTCCACGTTTGCTGTACTGCAGCATACATGAAGTAGCAATTTCATGTGAAATGGGGCATTAATTACCGAGATTTGTGTGAATGATAATTCGAAGTGGAAGAGCATGTATAGCTTACGTGGCGGCCATTTGTGGACTCTGCAAGGAATCACCTTAATTCCACTACCTTATTTGCTTATCCTTGACAGATACGCTTATTTCGTCTACAATGTGCAGACTTCTTCAGTGTCTTGTACTAATACTCGACTGGTATTAGCACAAGACACTGAAGAAGTCTGCAAATAGTAGACGAAATACGCGTATCTGTCAAGGATAAGCAAATAAGGTAGTGGAATTAAATGGAAATTACTAATCCTTCTCTCTCTCATTATATATGATATTATTGATCTTTTCTTTTATATGAAAGAACGGAAATGGGCGATTAGGACGAAGTAGTGCTCTAGCCTATTGATTTTTTTTAGAAATTCGCGATCTATAATAAAAACAAATTAGAAAGCCTGGAATAATTTGTGATATGTTAGACTGTAAGTTCACAGTCCTAGAAAAATTTAAATGCTTTCATGATCATGGACATAGAAATTTTTCTAAAATCTGGGCTTGGAAATGTTTTGATTTCGGACCTGTAAAAAATACAATTTGAAGGGCTCAAGATTCTGACACACACAGTAATGGCTATAATAAAGTAATCACAGTAATTTTATGCCTTTTCAAAAAACTTCAAAGTGCTGCAATTATCAGTAGCCCAGGTAACATTGCTAGTTTCATCGTGGTTTTAAAGCATTCTACAACATGGTCTACAGAACCCTCATAAAACCATAATTGTTACTTGGGAGGTGCATCCAAATGACTGGAATATTGTCTGCTGGTGGATATTCAAGGTTTATTGGTATAATTTTGAGCTCAACGGTTGAGTTTCTTAGAAGTTTGAGTACTCATAGTAAAACGATTCTAATTGACTACCTTTTTCGAACTGCTATTTCTTATAAAACGATTATCCAAATGAACTGTAACTTTTTCTGTTTGTAGTCAAACATTGTTATTTACATCTATGCAAAGTATATTGAAATCTATTAACCGCGAAAATTAAGAACATTGGGTAATTTTGTGTTTCAGAAGGTATTTTGAAAACTGCAAGTCCTCATCTTCCATCGAAAATGGTGTTATCCTGAGTGGTGCGAAGTGAAATTTTCTTCATGTTGGTAGTGTTGAAATAAACGTTTCATCACCGTCGGTTGGTAGAGAGAAGTGTCAAACGGCTTTTTGTGCAGAGCCGATTCGTGACTTTGTGATTGTTTGTTGACATTGTTCATAGCTGGAGTTTTTACGGAGTGGAATAAAATTCAGAATGAAGTGTTTTGCTCACTTTTGCAATTATAAAGATGGACACGACGAAAAGCGAAGCCTATTCAGGTTTCCCAAGGATTCAGCAGTACGAAAAGAGTGGCTCAGTTTCTGTGAGGTGGATCTCAATTTTCAAATCAAACCCAGTGACCGGTTGTGCAGTATTCATTTTGATAAAAATTGTGTAAAACATCTGAATTCAGTTGCTTATCGTGATAAAAATGCAATCCCTACACTGCGAACATATGATGATGGTCCATTTATCAGTGAAACAATTGACGAAAGTGATAAAGTTGTTAACGATGAAGATTGGCGATCGCCGGAACTGGAAAATATTGCAAAGCAAAGGTGAGACATTTTTTAAATTGAATTTGAAATCAACAAACAAAATAGGGTAGAGAGCCTCTGCGGCCTAATCCCCCATTGTTGGTCTATCGTGCAGGAAGAATTAAAAATAGTGTCGGACCTCCAATGGCAACGATTTGACTTCCCTCCAAATCGTGTGAAACTCGAACATGAAAACTCTATAGAACCCCCGTAGAACCTCGCTGGCAGCAACTAAAATTTCCACTGAAACCTCTTCTGTCGCGGGAAAAATCTGTTGAAATTTCCTGGAACTTTTGTACTATCATCACAAATCTCCTTAGAACGTTCTCCGAAGTCACAGTCGTTCCTGAGCGAAAAAAAAATCGGAGGGGTTTTTTTCAGCGCAGGAGTCTACTTTGGTCCAAAATACGCAATAATACTGTTATTTTTAATTGTTTGAGTCGTTTCGAATGACGTTTTTAAAAAGATCAAAAACATTACTGGAAAATATTTATTTTTTATTTTGGACGATAACAATACTTCTATCTATTTCAACGAACCACAATGATAAAAAAGTGGTTCGATTTGACAGCTCGAAAGTGGTTCGATTTTGAGGTTCGTCTTCGCACCACTCAGGTGTTATCTATTGACCATAAGTTTTGGAAGCCTTGAATATTTTATGCAACAGTGGAAAATATTTCAGAAATGATGCTCATACTGAAAAGTTACACCACTTTAAAATTTGTTGAATTGACAGACAAAATTACGGTGATCACTTTATTATTGCCAGTACTGTAATTTTTCGATGTTTAGACAGATACTAAAGCTACCGGGTTTCAAAGATTTTTAAAAATTCAGAGATTATTATTTCGCATAACGTTTGACGCTAAAGAATGCAGTCAACATACGTTATTCTCAATGGAATTGAGAAGAGAAATGCAAAGAAATTCCAATGAGGATTTTTGACAAATTAAAAAAATAATATTTACGGATTTTAAAGGGAATTCCAGGAAGAATGCTGAGCAAAATATCAAGAACAGTTCCTGAAAAAATACTGAGAATTCCTAGATATTTCTGTTTAGATTTTCAAGACAATTCTGAGTTGAGCTCTGAGAAATTCTTAGAAGGATAAACTTCCAAACTTTTAAAGACAATTATTAAGATAAATCTAAGGGAAACCACGCGAGCATTATTATTAAGAATACTAGGATAATTGTAGGTTGAATTCTTAGAATTTCCAAGATGGGATTCCAAAAGTGGTACACAGAGAATTTTGAAGGCTTTCAATGGAATGCCAGAGAGAATAATAACATTGGTCAAATTTTTTAATTTCCTAATAATTCCAGGTATTTCAGGGTTTTTCCAAGTAGGATGGCAAATACAAAACGATCAACTTTAAGTATAAACTTGCTACTACTTCATAGCTAGCTGAATATTTAAGATACAAATTTTTGCTTCTCGTACTCGTATACAAAGATGGCATTGGTTGCGAAAACAGAAAAAACAAAAAAAAAAACACTCAACAGGAGGAGGTCACTGAACCTCTTCACTGATGTTGGCCTGCTGGGTCCTCCTCGCATCTCTGAGCGGTAGTAAGTGCATACCTTCTACCGAATCCGCCGCTCTCTTATCAAATTTTTTCGCACTCAGCCCATTTCAGTGCGCAACGATGCGAATAAAAGCATAAATGAGGTTAAAATTTATGCCAAACAAAACCTAAAATTGGTGGTACAAAACTTTCTACCCACCTTCTATAACCTACTTTGTGCACTGCGTGGTCGAGGTGCTGTGTGTTGTTAGTTGTTATAGCGAACCTGTTGCACCACACTAGGGATCCCAAAAAGAACCGGAATATTTGGACTCTACGTAGGTACTCTCGTTTTGCATCCGGTATTTCGGTGCTACTTGAAACTTTCAATACACGTCCGTCCGCCCGTCACCTGGATTTCCCTGCACCAACACACGGCCAACCGTACGCGTTCGTAATAATTGCATAAATCATTCACCTTTTCGGCCAAAAATATGTTTCCCTCGCCGAATAGCCACAAACTGTCACACTCTTCTCGTCGGTGGCACTTCCACTTCACTGCTCGCACCGTTTCTCTTCTTGTTGGTCGTCTTCACGGAGAACAGCTTCTTCCAGTTCCAAGCAGCAAGCAGCACATCAAAATATAACGGAACGTGCTCGCTCTCACCAACAGGCTGGATCTGGCGTCTCGTTCGCGCAAACTTGTTTTTCCAATTTCCAAAAACAGCGAATGAAAAATATAATTTTGCTCAAACTCGTCTCTCCATGTACACACCACCGAGGAGTCCGAGATAGTAATCATCCAACGAACGAGAGTCTGGCGCAGCTCGCTCGTCTCACTCGCACTCACTCTTCCGTCCAGAAAGCCAATAATTGGGAACACTTAAGTCTTAGGTTTATCTTAAATTACTCTGTACACTAAAACTTGAGCTAATTCACCTGGCTAACTTTATTTCCAAAATTGATCCGTTTCAGTAAATACGAACACTCTTTCTCGATTCACTTGCGAAGCTCAGGAATTTCACTAAATTCCCTAATCGGAACACGGTGCTATTCGATTGTCCCGTCCTGCTCACTCTAACTTTTTTTTCCGCACACACGGTTGGCCACTAAAAGGTGCGCAAGTCACTTTAGGTTGGGAAGTCGGCACTTGTGGCACAGCAGCAGCGGAATGCACGTAAACCAATAGAGTTCCTACTGCGACGATGACGACGACGACGACGGACGGGTGATACGCTGGTAATCACAATCAAAATGCAAATGCAACAACACTCGTGAAAAGTTTTGTAAACTACTGTCCAAAGCGGATCCAAAATACACAAAACACCTCTATGAAGCTAGGTAGATACTGCTGGAGCTTGAGCTGCGAAAAGCGCACAAAAGGAAGCGTCAGAATCGCTACGAAACAGGCACAAGACTGACGATGACGGCTAGCTGGCACCGTCTCTATGTATATTTTTGTTGGACAACTTCGGTGCCAGTGGTTGAGTGAGCTCTTCAACAGGTAACCTGCGCAGGTATGTGCATACAGACACACCGTCAACCAACAGCAATGTTGTTGATGCAAAGAGGCAGGCTTGCGTCAATCCAACTCACCTGGTCACCTGTAGAAACGAGGATGCACGACGACATAGACTACTGCTTCCACGACGACCGAACAGACTGGTATGGTGATTACAAACAACACGCAAAGTCGAGGGGCCAAGTTCACCTGGGAACGAAATTTCCCATACACACGCATTGGACGTCGTCAACCGACAATGAGTGTGCAAAAGAGGCATTGATGGGAATCGAATCAACAATGTTGCTATCTCACTTGTAGTGATGTTGTCAGTTTCTGACAACGCCGAGGAAATTTACCTGAGTGTTATAAATATAACGGTGCGTGTCTTGGATGTAATCAAAGTGCTCAGGTGAAAACAGTAGTGATGCCAGCAATTTTATCAAGAAATCAATAATTATTTTAAAAAAACAACTCTTGCAGTTTACTGCCGATAACTGCAAGTCAGTCCCATCTGCATTTGGGATCACTTTTCAGTTGATATTTTTATGTTTTACGAGTTACAGTCAACTTTCGCTCGTGGGGCTGAACCCATAGCCCACTTAGTGAAAGGCTTTCGTTAGTTGGACTGAGCTGTCAAGCTGAAAATTGGTTGAGGGATACTTCCCAAAACTTCTGTAAAATTGACCACTTTGTCAAGCAGTTTTGCGTGACTCTCTACCAGCGATTTCACAAAACTGGTCCAACTAATTTCTATTTTTTTATGAAACGCACAAATGTTGGCTACTTTTCTCGAAGTTCTAGAAGAAAAAATCTCAAAATAATGTTTCATTTCAAAGTTCGAGTGGTAGTAAACGTCATTTTATCTGCTCGAATGAAGTGGTTAATTCCTAAATTTATATGAAACCATCTCCACTACTATGAAGTTCTCTGAAAATTTTCGAGAAACATCTATGTGCCTGTTCAAATATTACGTAATGCAAAAAATAGAATTTTGAATACCCCCACTCGCTCCTCACGCACTTTTCCTAATACATGATGTGTAACGCATTGCCTGACTAAAGGCCCAATCGCAATGACAGCGGAAGCGGAACGACAACGGCAGCGGAAAAGCCCGATCTGAGTAAGCCAACTTGTCGGATTGAAAACTTGTTGGAACCAAATCGACTTCGGTTAGGCATCTTGATGTCATTTGTGACAACTGTCAATCTTTCCGTTCCCGTTCCGCTTCCGTCCACATTGCGTTTGGGCCTTAACTCCTACCCCCTCTTGGTTACGTAATGTGTGAATGGGCCCTATAAATACTTCAAAAGAAATTTGAAACAGAGTTCCATTCGTGTTTCAAACCTGCTCGAATATAAAACAGAATAGTCGAGCAGTTGCAAATCTGGTGCAAATTAGTGCTTTAATAATAAAACTGCAACTCAGCATTGCGAGGGGTGCGTTTCTGTTCTAGTATAAAATTGAAACAGTCCATATAAAATACAATAGCATTGCGAACGGCCTAACTAGACTCTTCAAAAGTGCGGAATTGGGTTGTTTAAAGGGAATAAGGTAAATACATATTCGTTATCTGCATTAAAAATGGAACCGAAATCCAAAATTTAATTTAAATAAGTACGATTGCATTAGCAAAAATCACCATCTTAGCGCCCCTTGGTGGGACCATAGAGGTAGCTCTAAGACTAGTAGGTACCGAAGAAACGTACTCAACTTTTTGGCTCAGCTCTGGTACTATCTTCGGTCCCAAGCTAATCGATTCACCCCTCGAAACATAGGGAAATCCACTAACCCTTCATTTTATCTGTCAAACTTTCATAGCGAATCAAAACAAACATTGTGTAGTACTAGAATGGGGTACGTTAATCGATTTGCCAATTTAAAATCGTTAGTTTCGTATTGATTGTTGGTAGCACCTACCATGCTTTGTTTGGTGGCAAGTGCAATTAGACTTGCCAATGCACCTGCGTCTATTTTTACTAGAACAACTTTGCCTCAGACGTCATTTCGATCAGAAATGCCATTTCCATGCTACAATTTTTTGAAAAAAAAAATCAAGGACGCCATTTTGAAAATATTACAAGATCTAAAATAACCGAACTTCCCAAGCAACAAGCCCGCTAATTCGCCTTTTGCAATATAAGGCTAATATGCGGCTAATATAAAGCTTAGCATGCCCTATGTTAGCCGTGCATCAGCTTGGTTACTTGGGTTAAGCAAAAATGTGAATCATTGCCGACAAACGATTACGCAAAGTTTTAAACCTTCTAGCGCCGCATTCTAGTCGCCATTAGTTTAATACTTTTTAGGTCTTCTTTACCGACAAAGAGGCTTCGGCATGGCGATCAGCGATTATAGAAGCGTTCAGAAAAAAACGAGCGATAATGAGAGCAACTTTAGACGGACATTCTCACTCTCCCGATTCTAATCGGTTCCACTTGTAGAGGTTTCGTAGTCAGTAGGCGGAGCAACATGAGAACCATACATGCGCTCTTGCTCAGTGCATTTTCGATGCAATTTGACTCCCACATGGACATGCATGGCGGTGACACACTGATTCTGCCGTTATGCGCAGGCGCACTTATTGGAATGTCCATTTTTTACTCCATGGTGCTCTGACCATGGTGTTGCGAGCATGGAAAGTGCAATAATGTTTCCAGTGACTGCAATGCGGATGGGAATCTGCAGGAGACGAAATTCGATGTTTGCTTTCGGTACGAAGTTGATGTGTATTGAAAAGATTAAGCAACAATTGAGTGCAGTGTGGATTTGGATTAACAAATTAAGGGGTTACGCCTACCTGCAAACTTTCAAAAAATCGTTTTTTTTTACTGTCCTAATCGAAAGTATATAAAGTCAAGAATCTTTCCTCAAAAGATCCAGTTGATCCGATGAAAATTGTGAAAGTTATGCGACGTACAAGAGTGTGGACTTATAGTGCACTAAACCCAACTTGAAACTTTAAACGCGATTATCTCGGAATCATATTTTCAAAACCGGTGCCAAAAATTTCTCGAAATGTATGCATTCGATTCGTCCGATTCGTTCAGTACTATTTTGTGCAGTCCACGATCGTTCGGATTTCGTCTATCATTTAATTTCGATTTTTTACAGCCGATCAAAGACAAATTTTAAGGATCAAAAATCGGCACTTCAACTTTGCAAGGCCGTCATTTAGTCAAAAAAAAATAAAAAAATAAACCGAACGATCAAGGACTGGTTTAACACATGCTTAACGATTTGGCATGGTTTTTTTTTTTAATTCAGATGATTACATCACAAACCGCAGTTGGCACCGCAAAAAGCGATTTTTAGGACATCGTCCACGGGGAGCAGCCGTGCGGGGCACCAGGACCTCGTTTTTACAGCATCGACTGATAAATGTACCATTTAATGTGTGTTCAATAAACGGCAGAAAACCGATTTTCAATATGTTGCGTCGTTTTCGAGAAAAAAAATCCAAACTTTCGCTTTTTTTCGGTCTTGCAGGTGGGCGTAACCCCTTAAAGAACTGTTTCGTATCAAATGATGGACTTTATCAAGGGGGCAACTCTATCAAAGATGAAGGTAAGATTTTGTGTTGTTGTCACGTGATTGAATAGACAGAAATAAGATTGATGAAGATTTTGCAGATTTCCTGGCGAGCATCGATTAGCTTGGGACCGAAGAGAGTACCACCCAAGTAACATTTTAAGTTTTATGAAATACAACAGATCTACTATAAAACAACATTCATAAAATCCTGGTCAAGACTGCTTTGCCATTGATGCATCCACCAAAACCTCATTGATGGTAGAATCTGTCTAGTTGGCTCACCCTGGAGAAGGCTCTGACAGGTTATTTTCGAAGCCTTTCTAGATTGATTTACTGCAAAATGGTTGTACGATAAACGCATTGAAATCCATTTCAAAACCGTATTTAAGCTACAATTAAATCTATTTGGCAACAATTAAAAGCATCATTCGAGCCATTTACCCCAGCCACTAAAAAAACAACAATCAAGATAAAAAAGGATTCATAAATACCATCCGATCTTATCAAAATAATTAAAATAAAAACTGATCTTTTATAATCTTTTATGCCGAATTTCCAAAATTATAAAAAATTCTCATGCAGTGGCCTAGTTTTAGGTACCATATAAAATTTGATGTGAAATGTACGTGAAAACATCGAAAAACTCGAAGGGGGCGACACATCTATATCTCAATTCTAGATGCTCAAAAAATCTCATACTAGCGAATAAATCTTCGAAAAATCTTCTTTCATTTCTCGCATCTACTTGCATCGCGCATCATCTTTTTGCAGGAAATCTTCAAAATCGTGATAAATCTTCTTTCTATCTACTCAGCGTACGCGCAGCTAGCCACAGCTAAACACAATATTTCCTGCATCGTAGATATAGTCGTCCTTCTCGGAAAAACTTGAGTCCGCACACGGAAAATATCGATTTTACTAATTATTTTACATTAAGAAAATAAAATATATTCTTCAGATCGATCATTATACCCCGGACAGACTATGGCTTATATCATGTAATATAGGCTGTCTTGCAATGATCACTCATACATAGGATTTCCAGTGAAAACTAGATGTATGAGTGCTCATTGCAAGACAGCGTATATCAAGTGAACGGGGTATTAGCTAAAATAAAGTTATATCCAAGGAAATATAGATCGAAAATCGAAGATTGTAAAAACCCTCGTAAAAACCAAACAAAATAATTGTAATATGGCGGAGACATAAAAGTTGATTTTCATGGGCCATTTGTGACAAAGTTATTTTGCTTTCAAGAAATCCTTAACAAATCCATAAGGTTTTGAATTGGCTTTCATGAAGAAAACTTGTAAACTGTATTGTATTTATCTAAAGCCATTTTGCTTGATCCCAATCCTTTCAGATTTTTGACAGCATTTATGGCGGAAATGTTGCCTACAAAATGTTAAACGTCAAAGTTTGTTTATCCTTCGATAGTTGCGCTGTGTGATTCAGCGTTATTCCAGGCGATTCTCTCCCGATGGCTTGGAAGCAGTTACTTAGAAAGTGTTCACAACATTTCGCATTTCGCACAGCTGTAACCTCGATCATTCCCG